TGAAAAGAGTTATGATAAGGTGTAAAGTATAAGTTTGGTATAAAAGTAAGAATTTTTCAATTCTAAATGGAAAGGATAAAGAGTTATGAATTTTGTATCAGAATTTCAGTATAGACTAAATTTGGAGGTTTATGAAGAAACTGATTAAGTTAGTATCCTTTATCATACTGAGGTAAATATTTCTTGGATAAGTATGTAAGGTTATATGAAAAGATTGTTGGATTTTGTAAATTGCATGTCTTAATTATATCTGATGAAGATTTAATATTATCTCAAAGTTGTGGAAATCTTTGAAAAGGTCTTAGGAATTTAAATTAATTGTAGCATTGATATCTATGCATAGACAAATAGTGAGTTTAACAGATTATTCATACTTTAAAAAGGGTATGTATGATTGAATTCAAAGAATCATGGGAAAATTATTTACCTTTAGTAGAATTTGTCTATAATAATAATTATCAATTGAGCATTAAGATGACTCTGTATGAAGTTTTATTTGGGAGAAAATATCGGACATCATTAATTTGGTTCAAGTTAAAGGATCAGAATTTATTTTCCAGGATTTATTGAAAGTGATTGAGGATAAAGTAAAGATAATTTAAGATAATTTCAAGATGACATCTAATCGACAGAAGTATTAGGCAGACTTGATACATAAATAAATTGAATTTTATGAAGACGATAAAGTTTTCTTAAAGTATCGTATTAGAAAAAAAAAATTAATTGCAAAGGGGAGTGTATAATAGAGTTTAAAAGATCGGAAAAAGAATGTCAGACTAAGTTAACCAAGTGTAACATGTATTGGTTTAAGGTTGTGTTTCTTAGCCATGTAAATATAGTAAAAGAGATAAGGATTTATTTATATGTATGAAGGAAACTTGAGATATATTTGAATGATAGTATTCTCTCTAATCAAGTTGTTAAAGATAAATATGTTACTTTTGAGATGAAAAAAAAGTATTGACATCAATTTCAAGATTGATATGAGTAAAATTTAGAAAGAAATGTGTATAATAATTTGGATGAAGATGGTATAAGAATAAATGTTTGGTTTATGTTGTAAGTCATTAGAGACTGATGAAAGAAATCAACAGACTCATGATGTTGAGTGATAAGGATTGAGATTACCGTATGGATGGAACCTTATTATTTCCATGATGAGCGACATTATATTTATACAAATTTATAAAGATTAAAAGGTGTAGAATCGAATTAGTGAAAAGATATAAATGAATGTAATTCCTTGTTGATTGAAAATAAGTTTAGTAATTGCAACCACGAAGGGAAAGTTAAAGATTCAAAGTCAGACAATGTTGTCATAGGAAGAGTTATTATTGAGTTTGTTTAATGAGGTAGGTTTGCAAGTAAAGAAAAATATCAAAATAGTTTTTTTGTGACATTGTGTAAAAGAAATGCTGGAAACTATTAAGTTAGTCGAATAGAAATATTGAGATTTTGTATGGACGGATTGGATCAAAGAAGTTGAAGAAAAGTGAAAAAAAAGTAAGATAGTGGATAGTTAACAGAAGTTCTATATATATTTAAAGAAAAAATGGAATTTCTAGATAAGTGATAAAGTATTTATTAATGTCTTGTTCTGAATAAGATTCTCTGTATAGTATAGCTCAGTCCTACATTCATTAGACCTTATGGATCTTTAAAAGAGGTGGATTTGTAGTATAATATGGAAGTGCAAATATGATATAAGTAGACAGTTCCCATATATTTGTACAGTGAAAATTCGAGAACGAATTTTCTTAAGAGGGAGAGATTGTAACATCCCAAAATACAGGTTAATGACTAAATTGTAAAACTTCAGAATGTATTGATTAAAGTAAGATATTTGAATAGTGTAATGATTTGTTCGGAAATATTTCCTGAAAATAATTAGTAATTATCAAAGGAATTAAGGGGAAAATGGTCATTTAACATGAAAGATATTTTGTTATCTCTTTATGAAGAGATAAACGTTGGGGGAGAGTATTTAGAAAACTCTTCTTCTTCTTACCTTCTTTTTCTCCAACGTGCAAAGCATAAGGTGAGTTTTCTATTTGTTGGTTATTTGTTAAATTGAAGATTAGGTTTTTATCATTAGATGATAACTAAGCTTAAGGAAAAATTAAGTTGTCTTATAATCAAAAGATGAAGAAGTTATAAGAGATTTAAGAAAACGAGTTTTCATATGAAATCATGGAATAGAGTTGATAAGTTGAATTTTAAGTTGAATTTGACTTGTCATCTATGAGAATAAGAAGATAGAAGTGTTAGAATTGTATTTAGAACATATTGAAATTTGAGTATGATTCTTGAATTACATATGAATGATAGGATTTTGAAGTTATAGATGATTTTCATGGATATAAGTTGGTTTAAGTAATGGTAGTTGAGTTTAATGACATGATAGGGGTTTAAAATAGAAGAATTAAGTGAATAATTGATGATTTTCGGGGTTAAAATACAATTTCTGGGTAGAGGGAACCGATACACTATGAAGGGAATCGATTCCCCCTCTTGGACAAAAATTCCAGTATGTGCCGGGGGAACAGATTCCCCCTGGGGGGTATCGATTCCCCCCTAAATGAAAAAAATGAAATTTGATTCATTAAACTGATTTAAGTTATTAACATCAAGTTTAAAGTTTAGGCTTCTGATAGTTGTTTTGAAATAATATATTTATTTAGATATTGAGCCTAAACAAGTTCCGGAATAATCAAAGGATTATAATCGAATCAAAGCAAGGCTAAGGTGAGTGCAATTTTAATTGTACTTATATTATTGAACGAACATTGGCTTGCGATGAGCCAATGATGGAGTTACTATGGTAAGAAGTGACTCCTAAAATGTTATTTGATATGTGACTCTTATATGTACATGAATACATGATATGCATAAACATAAGAGCATGAAACATAAGATATGATATGATATACATGATTATATGCATATGTGATATATGCTATGAGATATGACCAATGTGAAATGAAATAAGCTATGTGAATATATGAAATGACATATGAATATGCAATATGTGATATGATATGAAATATATGGTTACACATACATGTGGTATGTGACAGAAGAGAAAGAATAAGTGATGAGAAATATATTCATAATAAATGCCCATAGTATATGATATGAGAGCTATAGGTATAGTTGACATGCCAAGAGTCGAGGGTATTGTAGTCCTTCAGGACGTAGTGGTCTTACGGGACATATATAGCAGTCCTTCGGGACGAATACTGAACAAATGTTTGGTGCCCCATGAGGGAATTTATACGAGCTGTGGTGACAGCATTAGCGCACAACCTCAATGTACTCACATACCTCTATTCTCAATAATATACATGGGCAACAACAACAACAATTGAAATATAAATTAAAGTGAAAGTGATGCAAAAAGGTAGGTTTCATGTGTGCATGACTTGATTATATATGTCATAGGAAATATATCCATGCATATTAAAAATCATGATCAAATAGTAAGAATGCATATTCATGAATCTACTGTTACATGTTTATTTATTGCCTCACTAAGTCTATGACTTAACGTGTAAGTGATTTACACGTAGGTATCAAGAAACGTGAAGAGCAAGAATAGAAGTAGCAACGACAGTATTATTACTAGAAGATCAGATTAGAAGTAATCGACAAAGTATGTATTTTGTTGTGTATAGAGTGTTGGCATGTAATAAGTCGTTAATTATGAGTAATCTGATCAAGTTTGTATTTTGTGGTCTCTTTTATGTAAATTAAAGTATTTTATTTTAAATAAGTTTTAAATTCCCCGGGGTTTTTCTTTAAGTGTCAAGGTTTGAAAAGTCAATGTGACACCTCAGACTCGTATTCGGGTCGGGTACGGGTTGGGGTGTTACATTACTAATAGTGAATTTTTTTGGATACATTACCGGGAATGTCATTACCTCTCATTCCTTAGGTATTGTTGGATTACCGACGTTTTGGACTAAAATGCCCTTAAATTTTTTTTCTTTCAAAAATATCCTTATTCTGTCATTGAATAATAAAAATTCTACGAACGTTAAATTACAAACTTATCATTAAACTATTTTAGATTTACATAAAAAAATCTATAATTAAAATTTTATATGAAATTCAGGGGTTAAAATAAAATTTTATCTTTCATTAAACCTTTTTATATTTTCAATTTTGTAAAAAAAATTATATAAATTGTATGAATTTAATTTTTTTTAAAAATATATATAAATATTTTCTAACTTGTTAAAAAACAAATATATAATAAGGACAATTTGATCAAATATATTCCAATAATTTTTTATTCCTTTAACCAAACATTAATCTTACATTCCTACTAAACCAACCAAACATAAAATACAACATTGTAATCCTATTCCTTAATAATCTTTTATTTACACTGATAATCTTACATTCCGTGAACCAAACGCACCTAAGTCATTTGTTTGTTTGAGAGCGCTTGATAGGATATTTAATGAGTCAGGTATTCGGACCAGATGCAAAATAAAGATCTTTTGTTGGGTGATTGACATAAAAATGTACTTTTTGTTAGAAATTCTAGGTTAAAAGAAGTAACTTGAATTACTAATTTGTAGCGGCGTAAAGAAAATTAATTCGACCATTTTTTCCCTAAGGGGTCAAGACCTTTGTGTCGATCAAAAATAAATAAAATAATGCCTTTTTTGCACTCATTTTGTCTAACTTAATGAACACCCTATTCCAACCAAATCATACGTTTGATGCTTATGCTCAGGCTTTTCAAACTGATAAATTCATTTATTTATTGAAAAAATGAGGATGGTCTTTGACACAAATTTTAATAATAAAATTAAATCCTATTAATTTATACAATTTCAACTTATGTAATATGAAAGACTATATTTAAAACTTCCAAAGTGTAAAGGGACAGAAAGTGAATTAAACCTTCCAAGGTTGAACTTGACTACGACCCAAGTCGTATTAAATAAGTGGGTCTCCCTCGTGAGACTTCCCCAATTCCCCCCCTCGTTTTCCTCCCTTCTTCGTCACAAAATCCTCCCCACAAAATCATCACACCCTAAGAATTCAATGGAGGTCGAAGTGGTGGCACCGCTCCCTGCGGCGGAGTTCAACTTCGACAGCTCATGCTCATCGCCGTACATAACTGCTCCTTCAAGCCCTCAACGCTCTGGTGGCAATCTCTTATTATTTACTGCTCCAGCAAGTCCTTCTCACGACTCTTATGATGACCTCAACGACGTCTCTCACGTCGCCGGCTCTTCCTCGGCAGTCCCTTTTGATTGGGAGCCGAATCAGGGTACCCCAAAAAGAAAAGGCTTTGATGGCAGAGATCAAAGCAACGATGATGATGATTTCGAGTTTAATTTCAGTGGACCGCTGGAGAGAACCTCATTGTCGGCTGACGAGCTTTTTGATGGCGGGAAGATTAAGCCCCTTCAACCACCGCCTCCTGTGTTCGAACTAGCGGTGGAGAACGGTTGTTATCCGCCGCAACAACAACAAGGAGGAAGGGAAAGAAAATCTGGGGTTTCATTTTCATCTTCATTAGCATCACCATCACCTTCGAGCTATAATTACAATTACGTTCACAAGAAAAGTAGATCGCTGTCACCTTCAAGCTCTTTACATTCACAAATACAATGCGAAAACCCCATTGTTTTTTCCACGAATCGGAACCCCAAATCTTACGTTTCGTCCATCTTTTCGGCCATTTCGTTTCCAAAAGGTAACAAGAAATGGAAATTAAAAGATTTTCTGTTGTTTAGGAGTGCATCGGAGGGCAGAGCAACGAGCATCAAAGAACCGTTGAGGAAATACTCTGTTTTGGGTAAGAAAGAGGCTGCTGAGGACATAAAAAATGCGAGCTTCAGGTCGAGTGAGTCGGTGGCGAGTTTGAAGCGGAGAGCGCATCCGGTTTCGGCGCACGAGCTGCATTACACGACGAACCGGGCGGTGACGGAAGAGATGAGGCGTAAGACTTTCTTGCCTTACAAACAGGGACTGCTTGGTTGTTTGGGTTTCAACCCTGGAATGCATGAGATTTCCAGGGGTGTTGGGTCTTTGACACGTGGATAGATGATTTTGTTTTCAATTTGTTATTTAAGATTTCATCTGGCTTCACAATACGCACCGTTTTTCGAATTTCATTTGTTTTGGTTATACAGAAATGGACTTCATGTGAAATTGTTAAAAGAATGTTGCTTCCACACGATTTGTTTATTTTTTTAATTTTCAAATCATGGAATTTGTGTATTTTTATATTTATACCTAATTAGAAAATATACTAAAATTTATAATATTTAAAATATTATAACAAATAAAATATAAACTAAATTAAGAATCAATTTGTGCAAAGGAAATTTGTGGTGCTGTTTTAATCTTTTGTGGACTTAGATATGAGTCATATAGTGGCTATTTTCCCTGTATATCATCGGTGATCGGTATTATTAATGATCTAATATCGATCAGACTATATTTCCCGATCTAACACCTTTAGCAGGAAAGCGCGCCCCCTACACCGCGCTATATGTTGATTTGGGACCACGTGATATAGTGCCCCTATCCCGCGATATACGGTGACCTGGCGTCACGTAGGTATAGCGCTCCCCCTGATCCGCGCTATACCTGGATATCTGACACGTGGGGTATAGCGCGGTGTAGGGGGCACGCTATACCCCTAATTACCAGCGCTTCACGTCCCCATCCTCCTTATAAATACCCCTATCCTCAATCACTTTTATCACACCAAATTCTATCAAATTCTCTAAATTTCTCTCAAATACTCTCTTTTTAAGGTATATTTATAATATTTTTACTATTATGTTTTTACTTTATTTAATATTTTACTAATATAATTCTTTTGCATATATATAATGGAAGACAGTCTACTTCGCTCGGATGAAAATCATATATCTCTACACTTTGCTGATACGGTAACATTTAACGTTTTAATTTAATTTAAATTATTAGTAATATTTAGTTGATTTATTTAATGCATGATTATTAGATTAAGAATTAAATATCTCGACACTTTGCTGATACGGTAACATTTTAACGTTTTAATTTAATTTAAATTATTAGTAATAATTAGTTGATTCATTTAATGCATGATTATTAGATTAAGAATTAATTTTTTTAATTTTATTTTAGGAGAAGTACCGTGTATTAGATCCTTTTGTTATGAATCTTAAGTTAGTGATACCAGCCGTGTCTTGCCGTAATTAGTAGATGCTAGATTCGGTTATAGGTAGATATCAGGGTCACTGTAAGATAGAGCCAGACATGATTTCTGCCTTAGTAGAGCGGTGGAGGCCGGAGACTCACACATTCCATCTTCCGTGCGGAGAGTGCACGATCACGCTTGAGGATGTTTCTATGCACCTGGGGCTTTCGGTGGATGGAGATGTGATATCGGGGATAGCTTCCGGTTCTTGGACTACTTTGTATCGGGATAGTCTAGGACGTGTCCCGGAAAATTTTATCGGAGGTAGGATACCGTTAAATTGGTTAGATGCCAATATTCGGGAGTTGAGCGCATACACCTCTGAGGATGAGGTTAAGATGTATGCACGGGCATGCATACTGCAGCTGATAAGAGGGTTACTGGTGTCAGACAAATCGCTCAACTTAGTTCACTGCATGTGGTTGCGACATCTTAGCGACTTTCGTCTCGCCGGATCATTCAGTTGGGGCTCGGCAGTTTGGCTTTGCTGTACAAGGAGATGTGTGGAGCCACTGACTACAGGTGTAATGCTATCGGCGGATGTCTCATACTGCTGCAGTCTTGGGCATGGTATCGATTGCCCTTTTTATGTCCTGTTGTGAAGAACCCATTCGTATTTCCACTACTTCTGAGGTAATTATAAAATTGATTTTGTATATTAATAATTTTATACACCGTATAACAAATTTTTTTCCTGAATAGGTGGTCTACTAATAGGAAAAATCATCAGGAGCTACCTGATGATTTAGAAAAAATTAGGGTTCTAATCGATCAGAAGGCTGACACACAAGTATGAATTTTAATGTTTAAAAATCGATTTTAGATTATAGTTATATAATTAGATTATTATTTTGATAAAAATTATATATTATTTGTTTTAGTTTGAATGGGTGTCATATTTTAATGGTGATGACGACGATGACGATGACAACGAGGAGTCAGAACCAGTGATACGAAGAAATCCTCCTCGAGACCGACATCCACCGCCATGCGGAACACATTCGCGACGCAGGCATCGATAGATTTTTTTATATTTGTATTTACTTTATTTTGTTTAATTGTAATTTTTTATTATTTCTCATTTAATACTTACTTTATTTTGTTAAATTTGTTGGACTTTTTTAAATATATTTTAGTTAAATTTGTTTATTACCATTTAATATCAGTTATTGTAATTTGGTTATCATTTACCATTTAATTATTATTGTAAGTTTGTTGTATTTAAATATCAAATTGTTATTAGTTTGATAAAATTTAATAATTGTGTTCATTTTTTTAATCTTCATCAACGATTATCGAATGACATTAACTTGAAGTAAATGCAAATTAAAATACAAGAATTATTATTGATAAACAAATACATCATTTTCTCATCAATTGTTACTTGATGACAACAGAAGTGGACATGTTTTTCTAGTGTGTCCTGGGTTTCTACAATGGCCACATCTTCTGTCTTGTCTAGATCTTTCTCGAATATCCATATTGCAATGAATTCGATTGGATTTTGGACGACCACGCTCCCTCAATAAACTCGGATTTGGTACAATCGGAAGCCAATCTTGAACCTCATCAGGGTCTTTATCATTACCTATGGGGAAACTCAAATTCGTATACCTTAAAAACTTCAGATAGTAAGTATACGGGATCCACAAAATGGTTATAGTCTTGACGCATATGCGAGCAAGCTGCTATCACATGAGAGCATGGATACTTCAGAGCTTGAAAAAACCCGCAGTCGCACGCTCTGTCCCTTAGATTTATTCTTAACGACACAGCTTCAATCCCTTGAAGAGGTCGGGGCAACTCTGTGACACGAAACATTTCATGCCTTCTAGAGAAGCTTGTTACAGACATTCCATTTGATGCAGCAATTTTTTTTTTAGATCTACAACTAATCTAGGGTGATAAACATGACCGCCTTGCATCCAAGTTTGAGCTTGTCCCCTGAGCTTCGCAAAAAGTGCCCCCAAACGAAAATATAGTTTTTACCAAAGCCGCTACAGGTAAGTGACGTGCACCCTTTAAGGTTGAATAGATTGCCTCAGCCAAGTTGGTCGTCATGTGTCCATATCGATATCCATCATCATATGCGTTCGTCCACATTTCTTATCGATGAGACTGATGTAATCGTATCCTTCCTCGTTCTTCGCCCGTAAATCTTGAAGCATTGATTCAAACGTTCGAGGAAGTAGTTCGTAACCTAATAAAAAATGTATAACTTACTAACTTGCTTTCACTTACCCATGCGCACAATTAATTGACGCTCATCATTCTTCTTGTACCTTCCATGATAGTTCGCAACAATGTCTCGGAGACAATACCTATGTTGGACAAAGGGTGGTTGCCAAATTGGACCTAAAAACTCCACTGTTGCTTTGATCCCAGCTCCGCGATCTGAAATGACACAAATTTTTTCCCTCGTGATAACATGTGCACGTAAATTTCGGAGAAAAAAAGCCCAAGAATCTGTATTTTCTCCTTCGACAAGAGCAAAAGCAACTGGAAGAATATTGCGATTGCCATCTTGGACAACTGCCAAAAATAAAACTTGCTTGTATTTTCCATACAAGAAAGTCCCGTCGATCTGAACCACAGGCTTGCAGTATTTGGCAGTATTAACGCACTGTGGGTAACTCCAAAAAACCTGATAGAATTGCGAAGAACTCGATCATTATGGTATGCATAGGAGGTTTCGAAGTCCACAATTATCCCAGGATTCAATGTCCGCACCAGCCTAAACCAACCTGGAAGTTCGTTGTATGATGCATCTCATTCGCCATGAAGTTTGACAATGGCATTTTGTTTAGCCAACCAAGCTTTTTATAGGAGACGGTGTACCCATACTGCGATTGTATAGCTGAAATCAACACTGCAACAGCTATATGAGAGCTTGCTTTTACCATGGGCATGATGGCTTGGCATATCACTTCAGAGTCTAAGTTCGAATGATCTTGGTTGACCCCTCCAGTACAACATGTGTGAGAACCGTTGTATACTGTTAGTTCCCATATGTTGTTTTTCCTATTCATTTTCGATACGTGAACCATCCAATTGCATCCGTTTTCGCGTCGAGCACAGTAGCATACATATTTTTCGGTCATCGATCGGTTGACTCTGGACTGAACAAAATTACGTATATTGTAATTTTTGATAGCCATCATCGCTTCTTCTTTGCTTGAAAACTCAATGCCACAAGATAACTCACCATTATTTATTGATGAGTAATATCCATAGTCACCGAGATGAGGCATATCCGCAAATTCTGGCCCGTACATTGCACCATAATCAGCTTCATACATGTGTGCAGGAGGGTCAGTTTGTGCCACATTTCTTGAAACTTCATCATCATCGAAGTTGAATTGCGGTGATTCTGGGTGAATGAATAGTCCAGTCTCAGCACCATCCGCACCAGGCTCACGAAGCGGTTTCTCTGGTGGAGATGATGGTTCCTCCATGCTCTTCATATTTAGGTCGAAGAACCTACTACTTGCACGCCTTCCCCTTGAACTGAAAGGCATATCGACATTGAGATCGAAAAAGCTCGCATTCGAATGCCTCCCCTTGGAGCTTGAAGCCATCGTGTCAAATGGAAACTGCACAGATGGTTGCGTCGATGGCATCTCCATATGGTTAAAGAAATTTGCAGATGAATGCATTCCCCCTTGAACTGGACGCGGTGTTGCCATACGGATTGTTCGTGAACCCACCTCGTACATATCGTAAGGAGTTACGGATGAATGTCTCCCCATTATGACATTAAAATAATTACACATTATTGTAGCCGGGCTGTCAACTTTATCAACTTGTTCAGCCAGCCCATAGTGTGAGCTTAAAGATTGACCCCGAACAGCACGCACTTGAACAAAATATGCATACATCTCAATAGCGGCGTTTGAATAATTACTTTGAGCTTCAACCATCATTTGAACATCATCATTGTTCGAAAGTTCGAACGCTGTATAAGTTAATGGCAACAATGATGTTGGAAATCTGTACTGCAACGACGACATTCTTCTATTACTTCCAACATTAATCTTCCTCGAAATCTTCGTTATTAGCTCCTCAAGAGTTATGTTTCTCTTTAATGACATTTTAACACGCTCATTTGATACGAAAACAACGCCGGTTTCATTTTCTCGAATTTCACCATCATAATAAACAATAGCTAAAAGTCGTGCCATTCTTTGAGTTTAAAAGTGCGGTAATATTATATCTGTAAAAAAATAACTTAAACAAACCTGATTAAATAAATTATATATGAACGAAAATATAACATAATAAATTTTTTACACATTAACGTAAATAATTTAAATAATATAATTTTATATTATTAACTGTACCGTAAAACTATTTCGACGTATGCTCATGCTTTTCAATTTTACAAATATAAAAATTAATTGAAAATAATTAGTATAATATTTTTTCAAATAATGATAATAAACAATAAGTATAATTAAAAAATTATAATAAAATTACCTTATAACGAAAAATCGCACGAACTTCTAAATCAAATTTGAGAAGATTGCGAGAATTATTACTCGTTGACGGAATTGTTGTATTAATTTATAAGAGAGGAGAGATGCGAGGAGATGGAGCCGGAGGAGTGTATTTATAAGCATATAAGGCGCGGTACCTGCACCGCGCTATATGTATCAGATAAAAGATATAGCGCGGATCAGGGACCGCGTTAAATATAATTTTGGTACGGCGTATAGCGCGGCCCCTGATCCGCGCTATACCCCTACGTGGCGTATAGCGCGGATCAGGGGGCGTGCTATATCCACGTGGCGCCAGATCACCGTATATCGCGGTGCAGGGGGCGCGCTTTCCTACTAAGGGTGTTAAATCGAGAAATATAGTCTGACCGTTGTTAGATCGGTAATAATACCGATCACCGGTGATATACCGAGAAAATAGCCTCATATAGCTAGGATGAACGTTTTAGTTGGTTGATTGAGAATTTGAACAGCAAATCTCTCATAGTGCGTATCCTTAAACTTGCTTGGACTAATTTTATGTATTTTATTTGGGAAGAGCACAATCATAGACATTTCAGGAGTTTAACTAGTTCGATCGATGTAACTGTAAATAAGATAAAAGAGACTGTAAAAATTAAATTATATAGACACTTTGATAATGTAAATAGATATTTGTGCATAAACTAGGGTCTAATCTAGTGAAAAGGATTTATTATGTTTTGTAAAAACTAGTTTGCATTATTTTGGATGAATATAAATTAATTATAAAAAAAAACTTTAGACTTGCCTTTTGGTAGCGTTTGTTTGGGAAAGCAATATTTACTAGTCAAGTCAAGCAATGTGTTTAAAACGAGAGGTACCACCACTTTGACAACCATTTATTGTCCATTTAAGTTTTGGGTACTGTTCGTATGCTTAATTGTTGCATTTTAGATTTGGGTAATTAATAATAAAGGTTATTCTAATATATCTAAACAATTATTTTGATCATTTACTTTTTAAAGATTCTAATTTTTTTAATAAATTTATTAAAATGATATAAATAAATATTATAATATTACACATATTAGATAAATTTAATAATTAATCTTTAAAATTTCAATAATTAAAATAATTCTTTAAATATAATTTAATGACGTGTGGATGAATACATCAGGATACAACGCCGATTACACAATTTTTTTTGGATAGTATGAGATTACGATAATATATTATATTTAGAATTTTCTTAACTTATTGATAATATACACACGTTCTGCAAACGCAGTTGTTCGTACCCAAGACCTATAGAAAGAATAACCATTCTGTTGTACAACTTGTTTCGCTCCAAAATTACATATTATATGTGTTTCCAAACTTTTTAATTAATTCATATTTGGATTAATATCTTTCTACGTTAATTAAAAACCATAAGTTTATGAATTTTAAGATGAGATCTTAATAAAGTTGAAATTTTGGAGAAATAATATTACAACGTGTCACGACTTAGCCGAAAGAAAAAAAGGGGGGGGGAAATCAAAGAAAAACAAAGTAAATAATAGTTTTTATATACCATAATCATGAGGTTTATAAAATAATGATGTTAACAAATAATAATGGTGCTTAATTAGTGTAAAGTGAATCTTATGCACAACAGTTTATTAGGCTCCTAGCTTGAAATAATTTCTCATGTGATCGTGTATTGTAATATTTTATTTAATTATAATGTTAAAATTATGTCAAATATATATATATCATAATATTTGATTTTTATTATTCAGATCGGAGTAATAATAATAGTAAATATTAATATATATTTTTAAAAAATAAACATGAATTTTTGCCTTAAAAATTCAACCAATATAACGTGGTGTTATCCTGTTGTACTTTCAAGGTTTCTCTAGAAAATTAAAGTTTTACAACAATAATAATAGTTAATTAACAAGTACATTAAAGAAAAAAGGAATGGGAAAGTAGGCCATTAAATACTTTACATGTGTCCTAATGATGGTCAAATGTTTTTATCTTATATTTTAATGCTCTTATTCCGTACCATTCTTTAACTTTTTTATTAATAGAAAATTAATAAAATAAAGAAAAACAATATATTTTGTATTAAGACTAGTACATATAATAAAATCTTACATATATATTATTTGAATTTAAGAGTGAATATAGAATATTAATATATATTTAATATATATAAATGATTATATACTCTGAATTTAGATGTTGGAGTAATTCATTTTAATACGGATAAAATAAATTTAAAGTATGAAATAAAGATATTTATAGATCAAATTAGATTTATGTCAAACTATATATATATTAATGTAATTATATTTATTTAAATTGCACAAAGTAATATATCTTAGTGGTTAAAAGTATAGTTATTATTCCTAGAGATTTCAAGTCCGAGCACTAGAGATTGCAAGGGTATTTGACATTTAATTGTCAAATGATTGAGAATCTTTCGAATACAAACTACATTTTAATCGCTCTAGATTAATAAAAAAATGTTTATCCCAATTTAACTTGATCATAAATATAAAGGTAAAATACACCAATAGTCACTCGACTGTTTCAAATTTGTCTTTTTTAAAAAAAAATATATGAGTTGGATATTAATAATTGAGGAACTCAACAAAACAACACGTTAAAGTGAAAAGATCATTTTGTAACTTTTAATAATCAATGGACTCAACAAAGTAATATTTTATAGATGGGGATTATTTGTGTACTTTACCCTAAATATAAATATTAAATTTTATTCAAAGACGTTCGTATTTATGAATGAGTGACTAATTGTTATAATTTGAGATGATTTAGAATAATTTCAATTACGTCATGTATGCTGATATCCAGTAGTTGAGGTGAAGAAATGGCAGGCAAATGGTCCTTGATTAATGAATGTAGCATGCAGGCCTCGTAATTATAACAGGTCATATAGTGAATCGCTTCTTATTACGGCCTACCGTAATCAATTTGAATTTAAAATAATAATTAAAAAAAGTGAAAATAAAGATGTCAAAGGTACTGTACATGCACTGTACAAAGTCATGCTTTTGTAAGGCATTGATTTGTATATTTGTTTAGGGCAAAAAGAAAGAACCAACCACGCACATTATAAATTGCCTTTAGCTTTACAGAAAAAACGTCTACACATGGCACGTGTCGATCTATAAAGCTAGACCCACAAAGGAATTACTGTAATATATTTTGATATGAATTTGAAAATTTAGATCAAAATAGTTACAGTGTTCTTATATTATGAAAACAACAATTCAAAGGTTCCATAGAATACTCCCATGTATATAGTGGATGGTGTTGAAGCAATTTAGGGTTGGGATCATGATGAATACTTTTTATCATTGTTTTAGGCGATGGACATAATTTGTGTACTCTGAACCGGACAATGCAATTGGTGGCATTGAAGCTGGAGCAGGGGAACTCGGTATCCAAGCCATGCACAAGTTCCCTGCTGCTCAGCATGGAACCCTGAAAACAGGCAAGTTGATGCACACAACTACTTTACACTTTTCTTCAGCACTTTGTTTAAGTTGAATTAGAAGCTTGGATAAGAAAGTTGGAGTATCAATGTTATTATTTGTTTCGATTGCTGAATCATGTTATCGACAAGTTAACAACTATATGGTAAGCCACTTTATACTTCTCCTGCTTTCAGCAGAACCCTTTTCAATACTTTGATTGTTAATACAACAATGCATATAACAAGGTTAAAAAGAAAGGGATTATCCTATGTTTCCTCGGACGCATATATGTTACGGACACGAATATTTCAGAAAATAAGGTTGGTCCATCACTCCGAATGTGGACTCATTAATGGCTTGCCTCGTCCCATGCTGAAACCCTTGGTTCCGTCCGGCATTCTTGGATGGTTAGACTTCTTTTTCATATTTGCACTGGGTTGAGGTGGTGCTTCAGCAGCCAGGCCTCGTTCACCAAGCCCCCGGCCCTTCCCCCGTTTGCCCCGTCTCTTTTTTGATATCACCTTACCGTTATCCTCACCCTACGGAGAAGGTCAAAAACAATCTTATTCATATACATGTCGAATATGAATATGCTTAGCTTTTTTTTTCCTTTTTTTTTTACATAAGAATATTAAAGAATCAAGGCTTACGTTATTTTTGGTTGATTCAAGATTGTTTAATTGAAAGGAACTCGGTAAATCGTCCTCGTCTAGTATGCTATCAAACTCAGATTTTTGTTTATTGGGAACAGATTTTGGCTGCATTTACATTTCAAAAAAGAAAAAAAAATGTAAACTAATGGCTTGATTTAGAAATACATAATAATATGATGAATATATCCGGTTTTGAGACATACCAAGATTCTAAGCAGCAACCTTACTTGGAGTCCTTTTCTCCCATCCCTTTCATCACTTAACTTCTCAACCTGAGCCAATATCATTGCAAAACCAGAAATTGAACAATTAACTTTACCAACAATCAACATCACTCGGAATAAGATAGTTCTATATCATTGCAAAAGAAGGAATTAAAGTATAGATTCAACTAAATATATCTAGAAGCTGTTATTTAGACTCAAGTACGAGTGTCAGTTATGAATATATTTATTTATTTTTCTTCATATTTAGAGGGTTATATTCAGGTTCTTATATCCAAATATGTGTTGGATATGGGTGCTGGAAACGAACATGAACACTTCAACGAAAATAAAAAGATGTGATTAATAATAACAGTAGCAACATTACCGCTTTCTCAGCAATCTCTGCCGATTCAAACTCCACAAGTGCATGAAGCTTAAAGATAATGGAAGAAGAAAATGAGGAAAACTGTGCAATAATTTTTAGGATTAATTAAGGAAAAACATGTCTGATTTGAATCTTCATACCTCGTTAGACATACAAAACTCACTTTTAGAGCGGGAAGATCTGGATTCATGGGGATGACATATTCTTATATTCTTCACACTGTGTTCCAATACCATTAGTAAGTGCTGCAGAAATAATCCTTTTTCCTAATTGAAATAGAAATGATAAAAAAAAATTATAATAAAACATGAACAAACCTTCCGACAATATTAAAAATTCTGTCGATGTTCTGATGAGAGTGATCTTCAGGCAAATTCTCTACAACAACAGTATGAGACTGCAAGAAAAGAGAAGAAGAAAAATTGTAATTTGCAATGCATAAGAAAGGTTTAATTATGCTCCTAACCCTATACTTTATTCTTTTAACCTTTAAAATTTAATTCATTTGATTAAAATTGAATAAATGATTGATTTTAAAAATTAAAATCTAACGAATATCACATATTCAAATTTAAGAAAAATTCAACTAACAGTAAAACTCAACTAAAATAGTCCGTCATAGCATGGATAAGAATTAATACAAATTTAAATTTGAAATGAGAAAGAAAGTAAAAATTCAAGTAAAAAGATAATATCTGTTTAAAATAAACAATATTAATTTCCTCAGCATGTTTAAATTAAATCATGAGTTGTTAAAAGTTATCAAGTAAAATTAGTTCATTACTAATTCATGTACAAAAACATGAGTAATAAATAATATTCATACTAAACATAGTATTATGTCTTTATTAAATTTCTGAAATTAAATTACGGAGACTCAATTTTAAAAGCCTAAAGAGTAGAGGGACTGGGGATCAAAATTATACCAAAATCTATGTCATCAACTCTTTATTTCTCTTGTCTAACACGGTCACGTGGCAATGGAGGTATAAATATCTATCATTCAAATATATGAAAAAAGCCACGGAAAATTTTGAGTATATTCATGTAAGAAATATATTTATATCCAACACTCACTCGAGTTCAAGCCACATAAAAGAAAAGGACAAGAAAACAGAAGGAAAATAGGAAATTCCCAATTAAATTACCTGAACTTCTTCTCTGTCCTTGTCAGTGAAAGGGTGTTTACGTTTAACTTTCTTACCATCATCACTCACAACCTTAATTTCAGCAAATGAAAAGGAAGAAATATAATTAGTTTTTGCAGTTGGAAAAGTAATAAATGAAAGTAAAAGAAGTTACAAGTTTTGAAGAGGATCGAAGTGCTTTGGCCAACAAGTAGTTGTTGGTGATGAGAGACCTGATTTTCTTTGTTGAAGCAATGAAAGATATGGGAACTGAAAAGCATAGACAAAATCTATCAATGAAAGAAACTGTTGTAATTGGAAAGATTAATAATTTTTAGAACCTATTGATGTGCCAAAAATTTTATCAATGAAAGAAACTGTTGTTGATGGATGACACTTTGTAAATTCCCCTGACTCGATAAGAATCTAGACAGAATCCAACCTCAAGAGAGCCTTGATTAAGTTCTTACCATAACCTTCGGGATCTTTGCTTATTTGCTTTGACAACGATTCATTTGCTATGAGGCTCATGTCACTCAACTGGTATTCCACCTGTTTTTATCGTTGTGTCAAAATAGAGAAACCGAACTTTCATTCATTGCGGGACTTTTCCTTCAATGTTACTCCTACTTGATATCGAATATGAACATTTATATGACAAATTTTCTTCTCAACTTTCTTTTTCTACCTTTTTATTTTTTTAAATATATGTATCTGATAACCGTGTTATGCATATATCTAAACATAATCATAAATACGAAATATAATCCCCTAAATACATGAAAAACTTGAAAAATAAATAAATAAATGGTTTAGACGCATTCCCAAACCCACAAAAGAATGTCAAAACAAACTATCATTAGTTTCATTATGGAAGTGATGGTAACAGGAGCTCTAATGCCAGTATATCTCGAGGGTTATATTCTCATGTACATTTCCAAAAACATGCATGATATGAATCTCGAAGAAAATCTAGCACCAGACATTAGATGTGTGCTGCTTGAATAAATGATTTGGATCCTTATAAATTCTAGTAAAGTTGTGAGCTAAACAAAAACTCAAGCAGGTGAAATGCAAACACTACGCAAAACTGACACATTAGAAAAGATTACCTGTTTGATGATCTTTAAACGGAGATCATCGGTGAGCACATTCTTAGGAAAGAATTTAGGGATCGAGAAATTAGGATTTGGAATGAAATAGGCAGCAGTAGCCGGTTCTTGTTCACCAACAAAGAACCCATCCGATCCGGCGACGTCACCGGGATAGTGAAATAAAGGGTAATAATAAGCCGAAATGGGCATTTGGGTACGCGATTTGGGCAAGAATTGTGGTGCATAAGCATCTAATTTGAACCTCACGTCGCCATTGCTGCTTCCACTGCTATCAATGGCAAGCTTTTCTTTGCGTTCTTCTTTAGTTTTTTGATCAGATTGTGTTTCTTCCATGGTTTTTTTTTTCTTCTTGCGAAATTTGCTGTTTCTTTCGTGTGGCTGGTTTGATTAATGCGTTTGAAACCCATAGATTTTGATGTCTCTCCTGAAGTTTAGTGGCTGTTGAGTTTTGAGAGTGTTTAGCGCGCAAATGCGGAGAGGCGACTTTCTTACACGACCATTGCGTTATTGTCTTTGACTTGCTTTTCTTAATCAATTTCTTCACAAAAATTAATAAGTCAGTCATTTTTCTTTAATATATCAAAGTTTAGTCTTGTAATTTACAGAAACTAATAAATTAATCCAGCGCTAATGAATAAATAAACTTGAACAGAAGATCAATAAATTAAAAAGACCAAATTCTGAAAAAAAAATCATGTTAGCAACTTATTGACGAGATTTAACAGTATTATTTCATTAGACTAATTTATCATTAAAAAGACCAAATTCTGAAGACTTAAAAAAAAGACTAATTTTTTTTAATTTTCATAAAGTGGTAGAGATGTAATTCATAATTAAACATATTTGAAGGTTTGTAATTTGCCACCATTTTACGACAGCCTTATCTTTCCTTTTTCTACGATAATCCACTCCCTTAAGCCCCTCACTAGACCTTTGTAAGAATGTGGCCAAATTCAACCTGAATTGTCATTTAGAACTTTAATACATATCATTTTAAAAATATTAATATAATTTCTAAGAATTCTCATTCACTGAGTAATGTTACGATCATATGTTAAAGCTTGAATAAAAAGATAATTATTTATTTGTGTAAGTGTACCCGATTATCATCGGATGCAGTGTGGAAGCAAGATTCCCCCGCAGAATCGTCACTGCCTGCCTTGAGAAAATCTTTCAAGTCATCTAATATGTGAGGTTCCACCAGTTTCCAAAACCACATTGAATCGTTTCCCAGAAATCCCAGCCAAAACACTCCCCCTCTTCTTTTCACTCTGCAATTCAGGGATTTTGCTTTCAATGTTTTCACGACTTTCTCTACACCCTCACTGCTCCCTTTCAGCTTCAAAAGAATATCGCCGGATGACGTACGATACCCTCCGTACATATACCAGTAAGCAAGTACAATCGGAGACAGCCACCGGTGAATTAGTTTCGGGATCACTGGTTGGCCCTTTGGAAAGAACTGGTCCGCATAGAAACCGAAATACAAGTGTGAGATGGTACTAAACTTGTGCGGGATATCATCATCTCCAGCTATTAGCTTACTCGAAGGATGTAACCACTCGTGATATTGATCATGAACATGTCTCTTCAAAATTGAATGCATGACGGAATCTTGATTGAACTCGAACCGTATCACATGATTCTTTCTCTCTTCATCCGAGTCTATACGTAAACCTCCTAAAAGCAACCCCACTAAAGCCTCTCTTTGTTCTTTGCTTAGTTTTAGGCTCACAGGTCTCTTGACCTGTTTCCGGCTTGAGCTAAGGACAGAGTCCAGCTTTTCCATCAGCGGAGATTCAATTTCATATTTCTTCTCGCACATCAGATCATATATCTTTTCCGCCTTCGAAAAATCTCCAGAAGAGAGGTATCCTTGTAAAATGGTATTGCAAGACTTGGCATTAATGCCGATTATCGCATTGCCACGCATCTGGTTGAAAATTTCCCCTGCTTTGCCAAGATTACCGACTTTAACCAATGAGTTCAAGTATATATTGAAAATGGTCCGGTTGGGTTGGCATTTCTCTAGGCACTCGATGAAGGTCGACTCCAGCTTATCATGAAGGTTTGACTTGAGGAACATATCTGTTAGCTCAATGTAAGATGGCATAAGAGGTTTCTTACCACTCTCGATGAATTCTTTCATAAGCGACTCGGCAAGGTCCATTTGCTCAGATTTACAGGTAATCTCTATAATCTTGTGGTATGCTGCAACACTGGCAGAGCCCAAATGCTTCTGCATCTTCCTGAATACCTCCAAAGATTTTGTAATTTCTCCGACTTTTGCATAAACTTCTATTTTATAAACAAAAGCTTGAGAAGGGATACCATCATCAGAATCGAGTAGTTCAATCCAAGTTCTTTCGGCTTCCTTTACATCCCCTTCCTTTGGACAAGCTCTCAAGATGGACAAGAGCACTTCTCTTCCCTCCACCATACCCGCTTCTCGCATCATTTTCCTCAGCGATTTTATCCTCTTGTTATCTACCAGTTCCTGATAGCTATGCAACCAAATTAGGCCAACGTATATATCCTTTTGAATCTCCAAGCCACATGTTTCTAAGTTGTGAAAGATATACTCAGCCTGTTTTAAATAATATTTTGAAGAACCTCCCAGTTTACTAAGAATGGATCGGAAAAGTGAGTTATGCAAGCTAAGACGTGGTCGGTAACCTCCTAACTGAATCATCCGATTGTAAATGCCACATGCTTCATCCAGGCAACCTTGAACCGGTGCACTAAGATACGCAACGATTAGAATATGAAATGTAGATTCACTAGGCACACGTCCCTGGTTGATGATATCATCAAATATCTCCCTACATTTTGTAAATTTTCCCTCCTTCCCCATGTAGTCCGCTAGCTTGGTAGCAAGAGCAAAATCGAATCGATACCAATGTTGCTGCATCATCCACTTATAAACCTGAATGTAGAAAACGATATTTTCAAGACATTTTACGTTAAGGTGTCAAGCCAAGACCACCATATAAAATCTTACAACCAGAGTAGCAATGCAGACAGTTAAAAGACACTGAACTCCCATTCTTAGAAGGCGTCTCTCTCCGACTTTCAAAGAATTCGAAAATAATATAGCAATAAACAGCACATATTAATAGTTACACTACATATGAATCTAGACTTTAGCAAAACTAAGAACAATCCTCAAATATTTCTTTAATTGGATAGATAAACCATCCTTTTATTCTTGAGTTCTAAGACCATTTAATTACCATAGAACTGTCCCAAGCACCTAAAGAAACAAAATATGCAATATATATATATTGAAAATTCACCAATGCCAATACCTACTGAAAAATCAGTGTTGAGAGAGCATGACCCCAAAATGGTATATGAACTGGCTTGACCCACGACTTAATCGGGGAGACTTGTGGCTACCAGTGGCGGGTCTTAGGCTAACTTTTTCCACAATCTCGATCTAAATTATAGCATCAAAGCAACTAAAGCAACGAAATGCGCAACATAAATGTGTGTATATTGAAAATTCACCAATGTCAATGCCTACTGAAAAATCAGTGTTGGGAGAGTCGGACTCAGTCGGGAGATTTGTGGCTACCGGAGACAAGGTCCTAGACTAACTTTTTCCGCAATCTCAATCTAAATTATAGCATCAAAGGTTAAGCTTTTTAACATCAAATAAGAAAATATTGATGAAAATCGAAAAGAAAACTAATACCTTATACCCAGTTTCATTTTCTCGAATTCTCATACAATGAACAGCCACGTAAGTAGCCTCCTCTTGTTTCAGCCACTTCTTTTGCGCATTCAATATCCTAATCAAAGTTCCCGCCTTATGAGCAGGCAACTCTTTACAAAGCCAAGCGAGCTTCGACCTTCGCCACTGCTCCGGCAACTCTTCCAGCTCCTTAACTTCAATCACCGGCGCCTCCAAACGCTTCATATCGTCCCCCGCGAAAACCCCATCACCGTCTTCAAACAAAAACGTTTCGCTCTCGTCGTTCGAGGAATCCCATTTCTCTTTTTCTTCACTTACGTTTCCATCAGCTAGACTAACGTGAGCAGCCGAGGACAAGGGATAAGCCAAGCAACCGTGGCCGGAAAAAGAAGGGAGCAACCGTGGCGCGGCGGAGCGGGGGATGATGGGGCGGGAAAGGCAGAGGGTAGAGAGAGAAGATAAAGCTTTGGTCGCTAACATTGCTGCTGATTATCCAGAATCCATTATGGTATTAAAGATTTGTTTTCTTATTCAATGGCAGCCATGGATAAAGCTCTGGGCTTAGTAAAATACCAACGTCCATTGTGGAATCTCTGGGCCATTACCCATTATCTCATGAATGAATTGACAAGATTTTTGGATTGGTTTAATTTTAGTTTTAGTTCTTTTATTATTTTAAAATAAACAGTTAAATATTTTTTTATTTAAAATTGAATATTATATAATAAATATAAATAGAATATAAAATATAACGATTGAATTATTAAAAACATTAACTATAAATAAATTTATAGATATAAAACCCATTTAAGTTTAGTTGATTATAAGTGAATATCGTGTATAATAAATAATTTTTCTAATAGTTTAACAAATTCAATTGGAAAATTTATGTTAAGTGAAACCAAGTTAACGGAATGAATTGATTAGTGGATTAAAACTTAGGTAGGGTGAGCCCTAACAGTAACACAGAGAGAAACAAATTCCATCCGAATCTAAAAATACGTAATTGATTGTAATGCATGTTCAGTTGGAAGTTGTGTTGGAGCAATGGACGGTGAACAAGAAGACAATATTGCTGAAACAAGCTCGCCCACAGTTTCTTTACCCTACTCCCCACTTTTTCACAACTCCTCATGGTTCATTGATCCTGTACACATATATATATTTACATACATCTTCATATCATCAACCTAAAAAAACCAAACATTTCACGAGCTTCTTTCATAAAATCTGCTGTCCCCAGAAAAATCCTTACAAAGAAGAAAGATTTTCAAGCCAGAGCAAATTTTTCACGGGCCAAAACCCATTTCTTCACCAACCAAAAGGAAAACCTATTGTGATCCGACGGTCACTCTGCTGCCACGTTACCAGCTTGATCTCACTCTGGGTTTTCTCTGAAACTGCTATATCAAATGGTAATGTGACTGGTTTTGTGCTTTTAGAAGGTGTTTCCCCCCCCCCCCTAAACTTTTAAGAGAGTGCAGATTTCAATGGCTCGATCGGCGATGACAATGGGACCTGGGATGGAGTTGCCTATTATGCATGATAGTGATCGTTATGAACTGGTTAAAGATATTGGTTCTGGGAATTTTGGGGTGGCTAGGTTGATGAGAGATAAGCAGACTGATGAGCTTGTTGCTGTTAAGTATATTGAGAGAGGAGACAAGGTTTGTGTCCCTTTCTTCCTTTTTTTTTCCTCTCTAGTTTTTGATGGCGTTGAGCTTGAAATGAAATTTGATCGTCTTTTTTGATTTGACGATCCACTTCTTTGATTTGTGTTGATGGATTGACAAGTGTTTAAGGGATTGCGGACTCGTCTCCCAAGAGTCCGTGGACCCCTCAACACGGGAAGTTTTTTTATTTTTTATTTTTGGTCTCTGTTCCGAAAGAAGTAATGCAACATGCAAAATGTGTATAATTTCTCAGTTCAATTTTGTGTTTCTATTTAGTCTTGATGTGTTGTATGCAACAGATAGATGAAAACGTGCAAAGGGAAATCATCAACCACAGGTCGCTAAGGCATCCAAATATCGTCCGGTTCAAAGAGGTTGGTCCATTGTTTCATCATTAAGGTTTCTTATCGTTTTCTCATCCATTGAGAAAGATTTTTTTTAACAAACTTGTGAATCTATGGTGTGACATAGATCGTATTAACACCAACACATCTGGCTATCGTGATGGAATATGCTGCCGGGGGAGAGCTTTTCGAAAGGATATGTAATGCAGGCCGGTTCAGCGAGGATGAGGTTCGTTTATGTGATGTTTTTCGATTAGTGTTTGGTCGATTAGGTATTAGTCTATATTCGTTACTTGGGACCCTTGTTTGTTGTTGTGCAACTTACACTGATATATTTTTTGCAGGCTAGATTTTTCTTTCAACAGCTTATATCAGGAGTGAGTTACTGCCATTCAATGGTAAGTAACTATAGTTTCATTGCTTTGCTTATCTGAAAGAGAATACGAGTTAACTCTGGTACATCTTTCTTCCCGAATTCCTCTCTGAAGCAAGTATGCCACCGAGACTTGAAATTGGAGAACACATTGCTGGATGGTAGTCCGACTCCTCGTTTGAAGATTTGTGATTTCGGGTATTCCAAGGTATAAGTGCTCTTCATTTTCACCCATATCTGGTGCATACCCTCCCTTTTCCCCTCTGCATTTCTCATTTTATCGTCTTTGATTTTCCTTATACGTATATGTTGACATGGTATACTTTTCCAGTCCTCCGTGCTGCATTCGCAGCCAAAATCAACTGTTGGAACTCCGGCTTATATAGCCCCTGAAGTGTTGCTCAAGAAAGAATATGATGGAAAGGTAATATTGCTTCGTGTTTGCTTGATTGAACTGCGGCATATATTCGAATATGGATATTCTGGTCCAAATATATACCTTATTCAACACTCATCCTGTGTTTATCTTAGCTACTAATACTCGTGCTAAAATTTTATTGCTGGAATACATGACAGAATGCGGATGTCTGGTCTTGTGGGGTAACCATATATGTTATGTTGGTAGGAGCATATCCGTTTGAAGATCCCGATGATCCTAAGAACTTCCACAAAACAATAAATGTAAGCTCATTCCTTTGTTTATGGTAACTTCTTAAAATCTAGACTAATGGCATCGGTTCGTTCTCGCAGCGAATTATACATGTCCAGTACTCAATCCCAGACTATGTCCATATATCCCCCGAGTGCCATCATCTGCTCTCAAGGATTTTTGTGGCTGACCCGGAAAAGGTTAGTTCTCTGTTTGTGGAAACCTTGCATATTCATCTCTCTATGATTGATGGTGAAGAGTCCGAGCAACATAGATTTGTGAGAGTTACAACCTTTTTCTTTTTTATGGTCTTGATTCATAACTTGGATTTCGATTTGATTTTGTTATCAACAGAGGATATCCATCCTTGAAATTAAGAATCATGAGTGGTTTCTAAAGAACTTACCAGCAGATCTCTTGGATGAGAGCTCGATGAATGACCAGTTCGAAGAACATGATCAACCTACGCAAAGCGTTGATGAGATCATGCAGATCATTTCCGAAGCCACTATCCCTGCAACAAATAGGAGGAATTATCTCGATCATTATTTGGCTGGTAGCCAGGACCTTGACGACGATATGGACGACCTCGACAATGATTCCGAACTAGACATTGATAGTAGTGGTGAGATAATATATGCAATGTGATTCCGGTGACGCCGTTGGGGTAATCGAGGGTGGTCAACCAATGTTAATGGAAGTGGAGGCTACCGTTTTCTTGGGAGAATATCCAGCAATTGGCTTTCAAAACTGAAGTGTTGTATCCAGCAATTGGCTACCGTTCTCTTGTAACGCATGTAATCAACTGTTGACCTTGGTCTTTAACCATCACTCCTTCAACTTGTTACATAAACCTGAATCTTGCTTCTTCTTCATCATTTCATCCTAAAATACCGAAAATGCACTATAAAAGGTTGAATTTTGAATTATATTAAATAATATCACATCCTCTAATCATTCAAACCCTTCCATTCCATTCTTAGCGGCTTCAAAAATTATAAAAAATTATAATGTTTTTATTCTTAAATTTTATCAAACAATTATAAAATGACTTAAATTTTATCAAATTATTATAAAACGACCCTTAAACTTATTAAAATTTATCACTATTTTATAATCAATAAATTTAACAATCTCATGAAAACGTGCTCCAAAAGAGATGAGGAAGAGATAAACAAGATAAAGCAGAAAAAGAGTAGAAATACAAGAGGATTTTATTATTCATCAGAGCCAAAAAATTAGATGATCTTGAAGTCAAGGATCTGAATGTTTTGAACCTCAAGTTTCTTATAATCACACTACGTTTTCTAGCAACAAAAAACTTTCCAAAGTTGTACTCTTTGTATTTGGCCAGGTTTTGCTCATCCATGAGTTCCTCCAATGGCTTCACCATGACGTAGTGAGAAGGGAAAAAGAAGACCGGAATCGAAAAACCTTTCCTTTTCCGAGTTCACCACCACCCTATGCTCCACACTCTCGTAAGCTTCATTGCTCCAAACCTGCAAAAACGAAAGGAGTTCATGAATAAGATCAGGCTAAACCTAGTTAAAAACCGTGTTGTCATCCAAGTCCAGCTCCAGTTAAATTCGACCTACTGAGCTGGACAAATAGTCTGAACTTTAAACAAATTTATATGCAAGAACTTGAATAAATTACCTAAATAGTATCTTTGGGGTCGGTTTAAATGGAACCCAAACTCCGTCCGATTTTCTCTTTACTTGTAGTCCTCCGTCATAGTCCTGAGCAACGATGGTTAAGGCACCGGCATCCTTGTGTCGACCAATGCCGAGTGCTAGCTCAGGGCAAGGGTATGGAGGATAATGATTAAATCTCATCATTGTCATATGATCCTCAAAGTAGGTATGGTACCTGTTAGATGGTAAGCTTAAGCTTAATGAGATGAGTTCCAATAGCTTGTAACCTAGTTTTTCCACTTCTCCAGCATACTCCTCGCATACCTCCCTATCAAAACATTAATAAATCAAGTGCCAAATTAATGTAGGGCATTGACGAGACACTTGTGTATGTAAGTTATTCGGGTTTAACTTGAAAGAAAAAAAATCGAATTTGACTCAATCATTGTTAAGATCAAGCAATTCGAGCTATTAATCATTGTTAAGATCAATCAAGTGGAGCATTTCAGTTCAAGTTTGATCATAAATAATTGAATATAAAGTCGAATACGAAATTCAAGTTCATTTTTTACTACTAGACAAATAAATGAACTTAATCAAACCAGCTTGAGCAATTCAACGAATCAAGTTCGAACTTTATAAGTGAAACTCAATTGATTCTCTCGAGCTGAGTCGACAACTTCATCTTGATAGCCTCCACAACTTCGACATGGTATCTTTCCAATAGTTAAAAGAAATTAATAAGATTTGCTAATTTGTAAAACATGGTATCTTTAAACCAAAAAAAAAGGAAATTATCGCAGGCAGCTTTTACAGGCAGTCATTGATTTGTTCATCTCTGTCAGCTAATTTATCAAACACATCACAGGCAAAATAGTAAAGATTAATTACCTAAACTCCAGTGGATTCTCTGGCCACTGGTTACTCAACGTCCTGGTTTGTTTATCCTCGGGCTCAGGCGAAGCAGGAAGAAAAGATGGGTCTTTTATCAAGAAATCAAACACCTCTTTCCGGTCTCTAACATTCTTCGTGTGCTCGCCTTCATGGTATCCCATAGCATTCACTTCATCTCGTTTAACCTTTCGTTTTTCGTCGAGGGTTGATCGAAGAAGGCTTTATGCTAATCTTTGTGAATAATTGCAAAGGCACCCCGTGATTGATGACTTGAAAAAAAACCCAGTTTTGCAGGCGTTTGCAATCTCTGAAACCAATACCTTGATGTCTGATACTGAAAGATCGATGAGCGGAATTCCCTCGATTTCGATCGTATCAAGTTTCGGTCGGTGCTCGGCGGCTTGGATGAAATCTTCATCGACTTCTCCCATGGCAACTACCTAGACTAAAGCCAGTGATTACACTAAGCCACCTTTTTCGAATATAATGCGAGTATGGTCTCCTCTCTATATTTTGTTTTCTAAAACTTGGTTTTATATACATTGAACATGGACAATTTCTTGGCCAATGTGTTCAGTGGTGTGGTATGTGTAAAAATACTATTCTCAGATCCAACTTTATAACAAAATCGATGATTATAATATATTAAAAGCTTTTACATTATATTTAAAATTTGAGGATGGTGGTGGTGGCGAATTTCCCAAATCACCTTATGTTGATGTGATTTCACGCATGGATCGCCACTTACACTAATGTGGAGTCACGTGTAAAAAATAAGTGTTAATTTTATAAATATTTTAAAATATGTCTAATATATAATTAATTTTTGTTAAGATGATTTTTATGTAAAAATATCAATTTTTTATTTTTTTTTGCGTGCAAAAAAATTATGTATTAAAATTTTTAAATATTTTTTTACAAATTATTTTATAGCTCGAAAATTTTTGTTTTTTTGCATGAAATTACACAATACGTATAATATAGTATAAGAAAAGTTTAAGGGTAAATAATTTAAAACATGAATAATTTTATAAAAGTTTTATAACTAGTATTTATTTTACAAATGATGATGATGATGATAAGAAATATTTTAAATTTAAAAAATTATAAATTTCATATATTTTTAAAAAAATTATTGACTTTTAAAATTAATTGTTTAAAAATATAAAAAATTAAAATAATTGCTTCTTTAGCTTTACAATTTTTATTAAATTTTATTCACTTTTAATTCTTTTATTATTATATATTTTTTTTAATTTTTAAATATATGAGTTATAATTTAAATTAATCATTTATTATGTTACTATTCAAATTAATTAAGAAAATTATGATAAAATGTTTCTAAAAGAAAAGTATAAATACATACATAAAAATTTAAAGATTTTACTTTCTTTTGTGTTACTTTCTCAACTTGTAACAAAATTTAATAAAAAAAAGAATGTAAAACTAAAAAAATATCACCAATATATTTAAAATATTCTTTCTAATATTAATTTTATAAAATATAAAATAAATATTAAATTTTAATTTTATTAAAAAATGAATAAGCATTATTAATTGTTGTTAAAAAATAATAATTAATTAATAATAATTCATTTGATCCCTCATTGTAATTAAAAGTTTATTTTAATATATTGATTTTAAAAGTTAATAAATTTTTCAAAAATATATTAAATTTATAATTTTTTAAATTATAAAATATTTCTTATCATCAACATCATCATTTTGTAAAAGAAATATTAGTTATAAATTTTTATAAAATTATTCATATTTTAAATTACTTGCACTTAAAGTTTTCCTACACTAGATTATACATATTGTGTAATTTCATGCAAAAATTAAAAAATTTCGAGTTATAAAATAATTTACAAAAAATATTTAAAGATTTTAATGCATAAAGTTTTTTTCACACACAAAAAATAAATATATAAAAGTTAACGTTTTTACACAAAAACCACCCTAATAAAAATCAATTACATATTTAGCATTATTTTAAAAAATTTACGAAATTAAAGTACGATGTATAAGATTATACCTTTTTGTAAAAAATATTAGATCAGAAAATAAAGATAAAATGATGTCTAACAAAAAAAAAATAAAGAGGTAAAATGTGATTTATTGGGAAAATTGCCGGTGGTGGTGGGCGTGATACGAGGACGTGTGGCTTTGAAGGTGAAGTTCCCTTGAAACACTTATCATCGCTAAGAGCTGGCGACGAGTGATGTATGATATTTGGGCATCGGAGAGTGCAAATGTTGAAGAGAAAAGAGTGGCAAACAAAATGAATTAAGGGTTGTTTGGTTCACAGCATATAATATTATTAGGAATGAAATTCTTATTTTTTCGTTTGGTTGGCTGGTAATCTTTTATTATCAACAGTGGATTTTTTTAGATATATCACCGGGAATATAATTACTCATTTTTCCTTAGGTATTATTGAATTACCAGCGTTTTGGACTAAAATACCCTTAATTTTGTTTTTAAATTATTCTTCTTCTGTCGTTGAATAATAAAAATTCTACGAAGATTAAATTATAAATTTATCCTTGAACTATTTTAGATTTATAAAAAGTCCATAATTATAATTTTATATGAAATTCAGGTGTTAAAATAAAATGTTACCCTTTCATTAAACCTCTTTATCTTTTTAATTTTGTAAAAAAATTATATAAATTTTATGAATTTAAATTTTTTAAATAAAATATATAAATTAATTATAGTAGAATTCAACTTGTTAAAAGAATAAATATATAATAAGGACAATTTGGTAAAATATATTCTAATAATCTTTTATTCCTTTAAACACGAAAATTTTACATTCCTACTAAATCAACCAAACACAAAATACAACATTCATTAGAAATCTTACATTCCGTGGGATTATATAGGATAAGAAACATAAGATTTTAACTGTGTCGGTTTCGTTTCAACAACTAAACCTTTTAATACGTTGAATGAATCCGTGGGATATTTTAAGCCTAAAGTGAAACAAAGCTAAAAACTAACCTGTTCTTTTTTAAATGGATCCCAATAGTAATATTTTAGTATTATTTAAATATTTATTTTAATTAAAAACATTTTTAATATGTAAATATGTACTTTTAATATCTATTTTTGAAATAAACCTAATATTAACAACTAAATTTGTTCTTATCTCATGCCAAAAAAAAATACTAGTAAAGCACAATACTACTAATAAAGAACAAAAAAAGGAGAGTGGGTGGGACACGCGGAAGGTGTCTGAGGCTAAGCCAGCGAGGTAAAGAACTCAGTGAGTGCTCGCCAAGAGAGTGTCATCCAACTCGGTTCAACATTTAGGTCAACTTGTTTTTTTTTTCCTTTGAAAAAATGAAAAAGCTTTTAAAAACGGAAGAAGTGGAGACCCAGATCTGAAAGCTCCTTCCTTTCTCTATTAGGTCGAGTTTTTCTTCTTCGTTTTATCTCTAAACACTCAATCCAAGTCTTATAATTTCAATCATTGTGAGAAACAATATATATATATATACACAACACACACTCTTTGGAAACTCAAACATCATTATATGATCTGACCCATCTCTCCAAAAATATGCCACGCCCTTTTTTCCACAAGCTTATTCTCCCCTCTACTCTCCACCACAGGAAACTGGTAAATCACTCAAAACCCAAGTTTTTCTTCTAAAATATTCTCTGGGTTTATCAATTCATTTTTGTTTATGGTCTGGTTTCCGTTAGAAAAGGTCCTTTTTAAAAAAAAAAATTTGAGTAGTCTTTTTTGCAGCAAAGTTTTGATCTTGGAAAATTAGAGCTTCCCCTCTTTGTTTTTTGTGGATCTAAGTGTGTCTTTTGAGACTTGGAGATGAATTTTGAATGTTTTGAGTCATGCTAGATCTTGTTTGCTTGATGGAACACTAAGGAGATTTGTGAAGTTATTTTGAAGGTTTTCGTTTGTTCTTTTGATTTATTTTGGTCAAATCTATCTTAGCACAAATTTGCAGAAAATACTCTGTTAAATCTCTTTGATGGGTCATTTTAATGGATTTTTGCTGTTTAAAGTTTGAAATTTTAGTTGATTTTCTATGTAACATTCAGATTATGTAAGTTTAATTTGCAAATTGTTCTGTGCAACCATTTGAATCTTACTGAGGGATCTTCAGATTTCTTCGGGAGAAGCCTTCCAAGTGTCGTTTGCCGGGAGGGGTTCAACCGGTTGTCCGGCGGACGAGATTACACAGACTTCAAAATCCCAATTTTATTATTTCATCAAACAAATAAACCCTAACTTGGATTCTGGGATTGTCTGCAGAGGCTCCCTGATAACTTTGTTAAGAGTATCAAGGACGAACTTTGTGTTGCAGCTGCTCTCACTGTTCCTGATGGTCATGTTTGGCGTGTAGGAATAAAGAAAGGTGACAATAAGGTCTGGTTTCGGGAGGGTTGGCCAGAATTTGTTGATCGATATTATATCCGTATCGGCTACTTTTTGATCTTTCGATATGAAGGGAATTCTGCCTTTAGCGTTAGTATCTTTAATTTGTACAACTCCGAAATAAACTATCAGACGAATGCTCTTGTCGGTACTCAATACAGTCATGGTAAGCCATATCCGTTTGAAGAACTCGAAGATGATGAATGCACCCCTCCAGCGGTGCAGCATTTGTTCCGCGGTCCTAAACTTGAAAGCTCCAATAACTGGAGCGGTGAAGTCAACCTTAATGCGGCAAAGAGTGTGAATAATCAACCTGTTCGAGGTATAGTTCTTTGTTTAACGATTTGAGCTTAAGACGATTCTGCTAATGAAGTGAAATTGCGTACTTCAGGTTCGGAGATGCCACAACCGAAGAAACCGGGGAGGAAAAAGCAGAAGCTTGACCCTAGTAAGTCTTGTTGATTAAGTTCGTCATTTGTTTTCTGTTTAAGGAATTTGGAATTTCTCATTGGCTGTACAATGCAATGTAGATGAACAGGATATGTCCGTTGGACATGAAGAGGATGCAGAAATGCGCTACAGATTTTATGAAAGTGCTTCAGCCCGAAAGAGAACTGTGACAGCCGAAGAAAGAGAGAGGGCAATGAATGCAGCCAAAGCATTTGAGCCGACTAACCCTTTCTGCAGGGTCGTCTTGCGACCATCGTATCTATACAGGGGATGTATTATGGTGAGCCTTTGAAATGTATTGTATTTGCTTTCAGGGTATCACATGTCTTGGTGAACATTTGTGATGTTTCGTGTTGCAGTACCTACCATCGTGCTTCGCAGAGCATCTAAGTGGTGTTTCGGGGTTCATCAAACTTCAGCTTCCTGACGGGAAACAATGGCCCGTTCGATGTCTTTATAGAGGAGGCAAAGCTAAGTTCAGCCAGGGATGGTATGAATTCACAGTGGAGAATAATATTGGGGAAGGAGATGTGTGTGTCTTTGAGCTGCTCAGGTCAAGGGAGTTCATACTCAAAGTTACCGTATTCCGTGTAACGGACAAGGCTGAACCAATGCACCACCGGTCTCAGCTGAGTTAAACTCAAATTTTGTGGGTTGATGATTAGGTTTTGTAAATATAGGTTGTTCTGGATTTGGAAAATGGGTTTTGAACTTCCTTTATTAATCACGTTTTGTTTCTTTCTTCTCTTTTATTTGAATATCCACTTCCTTTAATCCTTTTAAGGGCATCTCCAACGCAGCGCTACAGTAGAGATAGTTCCACTGTAGCGCGCTCCGACCCTGCGCCATTTTCATCTGCAGTGTAGAGTATTGCTACAGTACCGCGCCACATCTAGCGCGGCACTGTAGCTCGCGCTAGATTTAGGTTTTTTTTTAATTAAAATATATTAAAATATATTAAAATTAGATAAATAATCATATTATTTTTTTTGTAATTTTTGTAATTTTTGTAATTTTTTTATATTTATAAAATTAATATTATAATAGTTAAATATTATGAATAAAATAGAGTTAATGGTAATTTAGAGATAATATTAAAAATGAATTATTATTTTATTTTAGGTAGAGATAAAGATACGCTAGAATATAATTGAGGAAGACGGCATCAAAACTACACGTATATGATACAAATCCTTCACCTTTATTTGCTTGCTGATTCAACTTTTCCTTTTGGAGTTTCTGTTTGTGCTTTTTGGTGGGCATGCGTTACCAAAAATTAACAATATGATCTATTATTTTTCTATTTTTTATATCTATAATTATATCACACGTTACACGGTAAAAGTACCCAAATAATGATGTAAGAATTTTTAATTTCAAGTAATGTAGTTACCTAATTAATTTATGATATAGGGTGTTTTTTTTACAGGATTTTGGGATCTCTCGACGTCTTTAAGGGTGAACCAGATTTCTCGACGTCTTTGGGTGAATTCAATTGTGGAAATCCCGACCTCTTTAGCATTTTAAAAAAAATTACACAAATATTACATTAACAGAAATTAATTACTTGTTAGACACTGTTTAAGAATATTTTACAGATCTAGCATATTTTAAATACTTTCTATAAAATTATTCATGCATTAAATTACACAATACAATTATGTCTATCAATTACTACTTGACATTTTTTGATGCATTTTTTACCCTTTCAAAATCCTATACGTATAGTATATTCTAGGATTTTGAAAAATAATTTTACAGAAAGGCGCGACACATTCACCGCATAGAATTTTGAAAAATAAATATTAGTTATAAAACTTTTATAAATATTTTTCAAAATCATATGCGGTACATGTACCGCATCTTTCTGTAAAATTATTTTCAAAATGATGATGATTGTAATATTTTATAAAATTATTTATATTTTAAATTACTTACCCTCAAAGTTTCCTAGAATATACCATACATATAGATTTTGAAAGGATCAAAAACGCATCAAAAAGTGTCAAGTGATAATTAGTAAATATAATTGTATTATGTAATTTAATGCATGAATAATTTTATAGAAAATATTTAAAAATATGCTAGATCCGTAAAATATTCTTAAACAATGACTAACAAGTAATTAATTTTTGTTAAGGTGATTTTGTGTAAAATAGCCAATTTTTTTTCCTGGAATCCCATTAAAGACGCCTAGAAATCCATCTAACAATGAACACCCCCCAAGATGTCAAGAGATCCTAAAACTCTATAAAAAACAATCTATATCAAAAATTAATTGAGTAAATACATTACTTTGAGAATTAAAAATTCCCACATCATTATTTAGACACTTTTGCCCACGTTACGCATAAATATTCTTTTTTTTTTTTAAAATAAACAACTTGAATAAAATCGATGATCATTCTGTAATGTATAATCAAGGACTTAGCTAGTCCTTCTATAGGTATTTTTCTGAAATTGTTTCTCCACGTGATATCGTAGCTGAAATCATTAAATTTTTATTGTGAAATTAAATTTTTAGATTAAAATATATACGGCAATTATTTTTTGATGAATCAATTTAAAATATAGTTATAAGTAAAGTTATTTACAAAAGAATTAAAATCAAAGTAAAGGTATATCAAATAAATTATAATCACTCATAATGTATATTGAGATATAAATACCATGGTTTAAAATAACGGGACGAAAACACAATAGCGTCCGCTATTTCGCGATAGTGTCACCGTCATAAACCGAAATCCGTAAAAATAATGGTGGATAGCGGATTCACGCCAAAATCGGTCGATCGCGTCCGCAATCTAACGGGTAACGGTGAATAGCGTCGATAACGGGACGCTATTACCGTTATCTATCGTTAATGTAACAGAGGGATCCTTCTCTTTTTTTCTTTTCGGAGCAATACCAAAGCAACAGTGAGTTTTTCCTTTAATTTTTTTATTATCTCAGCAACATTCGAACCAAAAACAGTAAAAAGGTGAGTCATTTACCTTTCGTTAGTGGTCTCGGCCGGCGATGGTTTGGGACCCATTTCGGGTTTTGTTTGGCTTCTAATTGGGTATAATTTGGTTGGACCGGCGGTGGTCGTCGGAATGAGTGGCCACCGGTTCTCGGTGGCCGATGATCGAGAGGCTTGGAGCCTCCATGGTGAGTGCCGTCCGTGAGATGGAGAGGGAGAGAAAAAGAAGAGATGAAGTACACGGGGTTTTGTTTTAGGTTATATTAATTTATTTTTGGATTAATTTCATTTAAGTCCCCTATCTTTAGCCGCATATTTATATTTTTGTCATTGAGTTTGGACTATTTTGAATTTTATTATGGATCATAGGGTCTAATCATGATAATTTACATTATTGTTTTGTTGAAGTGTTTATTAAGAAGTTTTAGGGTTAATCCTTCTTAGGTCCCTAACATTTATGCACCTTTTTATGAAATAGTCACCCCTTCCTCATTTTTTAATTATTTTGAATATGATGCTCTAGTTTCATTAGTTTTATTTTAATCACTCATTTATATTTTTATTTCGAAATTAACTGTGATATTTTTATTTTCTTTTATCTTGGTCACTATTTTTATTTATAATCTACTCACTGTTATTATTTTATTTTGATCTCTATGCTTTACTTTATTATATTTTAGTCATTTTAATTCTATATTTTAATATTCTGAACTATTTTATTTTAGGCCTTATATTATGATATTTTAAAATAAATAAATACCCTATATAGAAAAGTCTAAAAAATCAAATATGCTTACTTTAGTTATATTCATTTTGGTTGAATCAAATTATTTTAATATTGAGTTCTTAGGAGGAATTATCATATTCTTATTATTTTAGTTGGAAAGAGAAATATTCGTTCGAAAATATTTTAGGGATTATTTTCTCTTCGATTAGAAATATTGGAATATTTTCTATTTCTCCTTAGAATTTTTCTTTAAATAAAATTATGCGATTGAATTTGAAATAATAGGATCATAACTTAAATTTATATTTGAATTCTTAGATTTCCACTACTAGAGACAATTTATAATCGATGGATACCAATTTTGGGCGTTGTGGCAGTGCTAATCCTTCCCCACGCGTAATCAACCTCGACTCCCTTTTTATTACTAAAAAGAATGAATTTCTGGTTATACGTAGACTGTTTTATCTTTTAAATGATGTTATCTTAAAAACTCTTTTAAAAGTGATTTTTAGGTATTCGACCTACCTAACCCAAAAGATCAATGGCGACTCCAAAACATTTCATTAAAAACCATTTATTTACTTGCTTTCCCCAAGAAATATTGTACTGGGCGAAAATCGGTTACGTCACCTATCATCGGATTTTTAAAGTCTTCTATTTGGTTAAATTATATTATATATATGTCAATTTCGCTTAGAAAACATTTTAAAAATCATTAAAATGATTCAATATAATTATAATTATTTTTATTATGTTTTAAGATAAGTTGTGCAAAATTTTAAAAAAATTCAAGATCGCGACACACACAGTGAACGTGATGACATTGATTATGTCCACAACCGCGATAAACACGACGCGACCGAAAACGTGATCGCGAACGCTATTTAAAACTCTGATAAATACAAAATATAGTTGTATATATAACTGAAAATTTCCGTATCATAATTGAAATAAAATCTACTGGACATAATAAAGATGTAAATGTTGAAGGTCAATCCAAATATCCCGACCCATCAACCTCAAAACATTCCTTCTCACTACAATTCTATAAGCAACATCAGCTTCATCAACATCTTTCTCTACATACAATTCAACTTTATCATACATTCTAAGGTTTTTGGCATACACAAACTCAAGCCACCCTTTAGAAAACACAGGTTTCGCGTACTCCCCATCTCGCCATATGCACCGGAAAGTCCACAAGTGCCCGCCCACGTCCTTCACTCGCAAATCGGCATATCGGCGACCGTCCATGAAGGGAAGAAAATACAGAATACGGGTCGGCACCGATAATCTTCTCTCGATGTCAGTTTGTGTTAGCAGCTTTGAAAATATCAGCTCCATGTGTTCCTTCAATTGCCGACTTGTATTGCACTCTCAATATATATATAGTTTTAGCTTTTTGGATTTTTCCTGAAAAGCGTGTGAAAGTTGCAGAAACTTGATAGACTGCACTCTGCATGTAATTTCGACTGGGAATTCTTCCAAGTTCCAAGTGAATTTCTATGTTGTTGTATATAATTGTGTGTGTATATATATATATATATATAGAGAGAGAGAGAGAGAGAGAGAACTTAGAAAGCTTGACTTGTATATTGTTGTTTTTCATATTTCAATCAAGTATATTTAAATGTAAATTTCCTGTTTGGTATCCCACGTCGACAAGCTACGCTAGAATTCAGGACAAGGCGTGTATCTTCTCGAACAAGGGTCTTCTTTGGTAATCAAGTCTTCCTCACTAAGGTCATAGCCAAAGTTAGTTATCCATACGTATGGAATTTTGTTTTGGGTTTCGATTTTCACAACTTATCATGATTTTAACTAATGTTACAAATAATTAATTTATCCAAGATAAAAAAATAATTTAATTGATTTAAACGTATTATTAAATGGTTTTATAAGTAAATTTAAATATATATTCTTTTTTTTAAAAAAAAAAAAGCTTGTAAAGCTAACAATGTTATACTCCCATCACATATCTTTGAAAACATTAATGTCATCTATTCCTTTGTCGTATA